TCCATGATCTTAAAATTCAACTCAAATCACAATCCTTTTTTTAATACTCTGTTATAATATCCTGTCAATTGATTTTTTCTTCAAGGTGAGAAATACAGCTTGCATAGTAGGATTTGAGGGTGGCACAAAAATCTTATATCTCTTAGTTAGTAAATCAGCACATGAATGTGGAATGATTAGTAAACAGTAGAATGACGTGAGAATGAAACTGATCCATTTTTTCCTTGATACGACTGTTATTATGACATATAGCCGTCTGTCATCTTCATGAATTTTTCTCATTTGTGCAGTTACCTAGAATACTAGGTGATGATATACTGGATTTGGTGGTGATTGGCTGCGGACCTGCTGGTCTTGCTCTCGCAGCTGAATCAGCTAAGCTAGGTTTGAATGTTGGACTTATTGGACCAGATCTTCCTTTCACAAATAATTATGGTGTGTGGGAAGATGAGTTCAAAGGTGCTAATCTTTATTTGTTTTATGTTATCTGCTTGTTTCAATTGATACTGAATATAGGTAACTAGAAACTTATATACATACTGCAATGACAGTAGTATTATATTTTCTTTCATGCAATCTTATTTTGATTTCTTATCATGCTTTAGAAGTGGAGAAAGACATTTTACATGGTTGTGCATGCTACTTTCTTAGTTTCCTTGCAATACTATTGTTATTCCCACCAGTGCAATCTGGTGAGGTGGAGCACTTTGAGATGCTGCTGCTGCTCCTTGATTTCGTTTATTTTACTAAGTGAATTAATTAGTGTAAGAGGTGAAACTCATCGGTTAATTTATGCCCACATGTGATGCAAGAGCTAGACTGTGATCCACCCCTCTCTCTAGAGGAAAGAAAAGAAGCATGTCAACCACTTACCAACTATGAGATGATACGGACGAATGGAAACTAAGATATCGAGAACAGTAATGAATTAAATTGATTGGATTAACATGTTAGTATGTGATAACATGAAGAATAACATGGAAGGTATCTATAACATCATGTACTAATCTTAAATGCTACAACATGGTACACACCTACTTTGTAGAAGGGCTGACATTGTGTTTCCAACATTTAGTAGTTCATGCCGTGTATAGGTGTCCATGATCTTAAAATTCAACTCAAATCACAATCCTTTTTTTAATACTCTGTTATAATATCCTGTCAATTGATTTTTGGCCAACTTTGGGGCCGCACCATCATTCTTTCACATGCAACTTCTGGCTCATCTTACCATTATTTTAATGCTGTATTTACCATGTACTTAAATGTTTCCTAACATTCGGCCATTAGAATTTGGGAATGGTTGTCATAGTAAAAAGTATATTTTTCATTGTTTTGTACACTTCTTTCTCAATTGCCCATACATCTTATATAAGATGATTTTTCTTAAAGTCACTTCTCTTTTATTTCAGATCTAGGCCTTGAACGTTGCATTGAACATGTCTGGCGGGATACCATAGTATATCTTGATGATGACGATCCTATTTTTATTGGTCGTGCATATGGACGAGTAAGTCGCCATTTGCTCCATGAGGAGTTACTGAAGAGGTAATATTTTGTTATTTTGAATCACACGCATTTACTCTTCTTACTGCATTTGATGTTTGTAGTACTTATTCCACTTTTCTATACCTTAATAATTTTCCTAGGTGTGTTGAGTCAGGTGTTTCGTATCTTAGCGCAAAAGTGGAAAATATTGTTGAAGCCTCAGGTGGCCACAGACTTGTAGAGTGTGGAGGCAATATTGTGATTCCTTGCAGGTATGGCTGATATAACCATTTTCCAGCAAGATATAAGATTTCTCCTCATTTTGAAGTGTCTAACTAAGACCTATAGGCTTGCCACTGTTGCATCTGGAGCAGCCTCAGGGAAACTCTTACAGTATGAGGTGGGGGGTCCACGGGTTTCTGTCCAGACAGCTTATGGCGTCGAGGTTGAGGTAGGAAAGTAGTAGATTCCCGACTCCGTCATTTGAATTATGTCTTTCTCTATGCTTGTAAGTTGACAAGAAATTCGGGACCTTATTACTATTTGTTTAATTGTAATACTTCTGTTTATGATCTTCCAAGCTATGAGGTTGACATTGTAACTGTTAGAATTGCAATTCTTTGATTGGTGATATAATTTTTTTTTGCCATATTTTAGGTGGAAAACAATCCGTACAACCTGGACCTGATGGTTTTTATGGATTACAGAGACTACATTAAACGCAAAGTTCAAGGCTTAGAAGCACAATATCCAACCTTTCTTTATGCAATGCCCATGTCGCCAACAAGAGTATTCTTTGAGGTTCAATGTTTTTAGTGCTTATTTTTTTGATGCACTCCTTATTATTCATTATGATGATTTTGTGCACTAAAATAATGTGTCACAGGAAACCTGTTTGGCATCAAAAGATGCCATGCCTTTTGAACTATTGAGGGATAAGCTTATGACAAGATTAGAGACAATGGGTGTCCGGATTATAAAAACTTACGAAGAGGTATTCGACCTGTATACTTTATTGTTTAAATTACTAAAGTGGAGACATACTTATAAATTATGTACAGGAATGGTCTTATATTCCAGTGGGTGGATCCTTACCAAGTACAGAGCAAAAGAACCTTGCATTTGGTGCTGCTGCTAGCATGGTCCATCCAGCCACAGGTAATGAAAGAATAATTGTTGCCTTTGTCTTCTTGTCTTCTTGTTCTTGAATGAAATTATTTCATTCTTTTGTCACCTTGCATTTATCAGGTTATTCAGTTGTCAGATCATTGTCTGAGGCTCCAAATTATGCATCCGCCATTGCAAATATTTTGAAACAGCGTCGTGACCGGAACATGCTTATCACTACAGGAATTACAGAGAATATCTCAATCCAAGGTACATGGAAAGTGAATAATATCTTACCTTTAAGCTTGTCGAGGTTCACTGGAAGTTGTGTTTAATAATTTTTCAATCTTGTTTGGACTCTGGTAATGTGGTTTGAACTAGTCGGTAAACCTTTTTTCCATTGAAACACCATCAAAACTTAGGTCGGTTTTTTGCTGCCCCCCTTTGCCTAAATGGTAACTTTATCTGGTTAGGAGTTTGACAATGAACGAGTTCATGTGACTAGAAATTTTGGATAATTTAGTTTTTGAAAATACCATGTTTGTCGTTTGAGATTGTTGTCATCCCCAACATGCAAATTGTGGATGTAATTTCAGCTTGGAATACCCTCTGGCCGCAAGAAAGGAAACGACAACGAGCTTTTTTCCTATTCGGATTAGCACTCATACTACAACTGGATATTGAGGGGATAAGGACATTCTTCCACACATTTTTCCGTTTACCAACTTGGTAGGTTTGCATCTTCTCCATTTTCGTGTTTTCCAAGAATAATTCTTCCATAGTTATATGTACTGCATAGATTAAGTTACTTATTTTGCCAAACATGGTATTGAAAATTACTCTTTTACAATTAACTTATTTTTCTTTGTACTTGACATGATCCTTGGCTAATATGATAATCTCACAGGATGTCGCAAGGATTTCTTGGTTCAACTCTATCGTCAGCAGACCTCGTATTATTTGCATTTTATATGTTTGTTATAGCTCCAAATGACCTGAGAAAAAGCCTTATCAAACATCTGATATCTGATCCTACTGGTGCAATTATGGTAAGAACTTATCTTACAATCTAGAAAACACTTTTTGTCCAGCATTTTCGGAAGTCCCAGTTAAAATGAGTATCTCATTAAACTCGCCCATGCTCGTTCGTGTAAATAACTTTTGTATTTGATAAGTATTCAAACACATAATCTGAGTCTATTTCTCCATTTCTGGTTTGAATGATGTGAAGTTCTACTTGAACCTAAGAATGCTGAGAATTTCTCTATCTGCATCCACATTTTCTTTAACATCACCTCTAATTATTGTCTAAAATCCGAATTTTTTTTTATCATAAAAGAGCATGAATTATTAGATTATCATAAGTGAGATAAGAGAATATATACAGCAAACAAAGCTTTATTCTCAATAAATTTAGCATCAAATAATATTTGACTAAGTTTTGGTTGTAAATGTATTGCGACACTTCTAATCCAAGCTTAAAACTGGCTATGATAAAATATAGATAGAATTAGACGAGAATACATATTATAGACCACAAACCTTTGTTTTCTTGTTTTCCTTTTGCAGTTAAGGTGGTCTAACATGTATTTTCATCCTTGCTAAACATTGAAGCAAATGTTATGGATTAAGCCGTAATCTTAGTTAATAGAACATTAATACAGATTTCATAACTTAGCCCCTGTTTGTTATTCATTCTTTTTTTCTACAGTACTCATTTTCAATCATACGCTTTTCATTAAAATAATATTAAATGTAAATAAAAAACTTTTCCTTTTTTTTTTTTGAATCATACATTTCAACATCAATCACTATTCCATAATACATTCTTTACAAATAATGGGTGACAAACACACGCTTCAAATTGCATTGCTCGACAAAGTTCACATCAACTCAATTAAGTAGATTAGCTTGTTTTCAATGAAGACATTAAATATTTTAAAGAGATTTTATTTACAAATGCATATCAAGAAATCATAGATATAAACCAAATACTCTTAGTTCCTAATCCAATATGCCATAATGTTCTCTCTTTTTTCCCTTTATTTTTCAACTGTAGAAGAATGAAATAATTATTAATTATTATTATCTATCTAGACAATTTCCTTACCAACAGGTTTTAGTTCTTATTTGGAACTTTTATTAGATAATTAATAGCCCCCTCGCAGAAGGGGGTCATACTGATCAAAGCCCAGACCACTGTTTACTGAAAATGAGGTCTCTACAAAGTTGTAAGACCATGTTTGGGACTAACGCCTCCCCTGTGGCCAAACAAATAGTAGCTGATTGCATTTATATAAAAGAGATGAAACTGAACCAATAAACAAGTAATGCTCTGCAACTCATGGATAAACTTCACCTGATTTTTTTTATTTGAAGAATATCTTGAACTAGAAACATTTTTTATCAGCGGTATTAATTCGTACTTACCTATCTTCGTAAGTCTAAATACATAGACATCAATGGCCAAGTATGGCATACAATCTTATTTATACACAGAGCTTTAAAGTTTCTCGACGCCATTCAGCATCATTCAACTTGTGTAAATTCAAGGGCATTGGCATCAGGATCTCGTGTGAAAATTGCCGGTCTCCCAGAGCGACTGAGGGTGTACGAGATGCCTGAAAATTTGAAAACTGGGTATGAATTCAGATACATGTAAAGAACATCATCGCGACGTGGAAATCCTATTAAGGTACCAAGGTTTTTGGAAATAAGGCAATGAATGATAAAGCAGCTAATAAGATGAATCACCTTCTTTATCAAGAATTGCTTTCAGTTTAGACACATCCCGAATTGCTATGCAAGTATGACGATCTCGACCACCATGTTCTGGTCGGCCAGTTAATGGGTCGGGATTTGGAAGCTCCATTAAGTGTATCATCTCAGACCCCACCCACAACCAAGCACCCCTGTAAGGGAGCTTATCATGTGGTCGTGCCTCATTTATTCTAAGACCTGATTACTCTAACAGTTAGCATTTTCTTACCCCTAAAGAAAAAGAATAGTGTTCATCAGCTTTATGGCATACAGAAAATTTACCGAGAATATTCTGGTAAAACTGCAATGACCTTTCAAGGTTCTCACATAAGATTCCCACATGATGAACACTAAGAACTCCAAAATCTGCACAGACAGACGTTTTCTATCAAGTTTAGCATCAAATGGTCTTTTGATCTTCGGTTAAGTCTCTATGCCAAATTATGAGATATCCAATTCAACAAATGAATGACCTCAGAATAATCATCAAAGCAATTGGAAAACTACTAGTTTATTCTCACTCTCTTCAATACATAAAGAGTAGAATATAAAATTGGAAAAGTACTTGTTTTGCTTTCTTTCCTTTTTTGTGAACGATCCATAATCAAAATCAAAAGTCTTATGGTGTTTTGATGGGGTTGACTGAAAACCTTTTTCTTCTAAGCCTTCTGTTTTATACAAAAATCATTAAGCCCATGTTTGAGCCACATTCTAGAGAAAAATGCATTATTCATGTCAAATCAATGGGCAATGTGTGGTTATAAAATAAGGAAAAGTTTTAGATTTTTGTGTAGTATTATTTTATTGAAGAATGTGTGATTGAAATGATATCAAATCACTGTTGAAGAATATATATATATTTTTTAAATAATGTGGCTCAAACAAGCCCTAAATGTGTATTCGTTAGGACTCAACCAACATAAACATTTGTAGGTAGCCACAAAGCGCATCACTTGAGCACTTCATAAATCTAGTACACAATGGTATATGTAAAAGATGAAAAAGAATGATTACCATTTGTTTCATCAGCTGCCTCGACATTCAAAGATTCTTTGGCAAGCACGTCAGCTTTGAAGGATGTTTTAGATTTTATCGTCAGATAATGCCCATGACATCCACTGGTTCTTCTAGCAAAAAGATAATCTCTGTTTGACAACGCTTTTACTGGGAGAGCTTTTGCATTTCCATCATTGAACTAAGAAAAAAAACCTCAACCAATTAGCAGGCTAACAAAGAGCTGTAAAACCCGGTGATTTCAATAATGTTAAAACGTATATAGTGGCAGTAAGTGTAGTGAAAGAAAGAAATAGATAGTGGCAGTAAGTGTAGTGAAATCATTATCGGATAAAACTTACCCAGGTACATAATTCTAGTAATTTTGCAACTTGGGGTGAAATTTTTTAGTTATAGGAGCGGCCACACGCTACTTGGTAATGTTATATTTACTTCATTCACAAACAATTTGCTGCTGCTGGGTTCTAATGGAAAACCACCTCCTGGCTATAACAAATTCCAAAAAGAAGTTGGCAGACAACAATCCAACAATTTTCGCTTAAGTGCTTGTTTGGTAGGAATTTTAGACCAATTAAAATCAATTTTTTGACCGTTATTTCACTATTTCAGCCGTCACTTTTAAATTCTTCTCTCATAGATAGGACCCATTTTATCTCTAACGGTCAAAAAATCAATTATCAAAATCTCCACCAAACAAGCTCTAATTTTAGGAGGAAACTTGTATTCATGCCATTCAAAATCGAGTTTCTCATCCACTCCCTCTCAACTTCTAAAAAGAAGAGGGTAGAATTTTAATTTATATATCATTAAGGGTTATGACATTTGGTGAAAGTAAACCTAAAACATTTAATAGACAACTATTATTCCTTTATATGGAGAAAGGATATTTGAATTAACATATCTGTCTCTTAATGAAGAGATACGAAGAGACACACCTCTTTAAGAAAGGAATCATTTTTTCCCCCAAACGCATTCACAAAAGACGTGACTGATAGACTTATGGTACCAACTAAAAGAATGTTGTAAAAAATTTTGAGCTTTCCTTTTCATATCTTGATGCTTAAGGGTATGATAAAGAAGTGTTTGTCAAGAGAGGCATTTGGCACTTATTTACATGGGTTGCGGGCCATAAAATCGAGGAATTTAGCATTTCTTATCATTAGTAGAGATGCATCAGCAGTTTGGTGGCACTGGGTCCCTAATTCTTTTTCAATAGAGTCGTAATGCACTTTAATGCATTGGACAATAAAGCAAGAGATCTATTGCCACCTAATTGATGATGTATCTCTACTAATGATACGTAGCATTACTCTGCCCAAAGGTGATGAGTGATGACCGCTGGAGGCCTATGTTCAAGTCTTCGCCTTTGCTAAGTGGTGATTAATATACTATTATCTTATTTTTGTTATCATATTCAGTTGAATCAATGTGCCTTTTATATTGACAACTATTATTCCTTTCAATGGAGAAAGGATATTTGAATTAACATCTCTGTCTCGTCATGAAGAGATACGAAGAGACGTTTTTTTCTCATACACATTCACAAAAGAGGTGATTGACAGACTTATGGTACCAGCTAAAAGACATGTTGTAAAAAAAATAAAAAATTGAGCTTTCTTTTCGTATCTTGATACTCAAGGCTATGATAAAGAAGTGTTTGTTTAAGTCACAAAAGGAACATATGGCACTTAATTACTTGGGTTGTGGGCCATAAAACTGAGGAATTTAGCATTTCTTATCATTAGTAGAGATGCAAAGAAGTTAAGTGTCACTGGTCCCCTGATTCATTTTTCAATAAAGTCATGATGCACTTTAATGAATTGGACAATGAAGCAGGAAGCATGTTATCAGGTGATGCATCTCTACTAATGATGGATAGCATTACTTTGCCAAAATGTGATGAGTGATGACCGCTGGAGGCTTATGTTCAAGTTTTTGCCTTTGGCAAGTGGTGATTAACATACTATTATCTTATTTTTGTTATCATATTTAGCTAAATCAATGTGCCTTTTATATTGAAAACTATTATCCCTTCCGACGGAGAAAGGATATTTGAATTAATATCTCAGTCGCTTCATGAAGAGACACGAAGAGACAGACCTCTTTTAATAAAGTAACCTTTTTTTCCTCATACACATTCACAAAAGTGGTGACTAACGACTTATGGTACTAGCTAAAAGATAGGCTGTAAAAAAAATAAAAAAAATAGCTTTCCTTTTCATATCCCGATACTCGTAGTTATGATAATGAAGTGTTCCTTAGGTCACAAGAGGGAAATTTGGCACTTATTCACTTGGGTTGCGGGCTATAAAACTGAGGAATATAACATTTCTTATCATTAGTAGAGATGCATCAGCAGTTAGATGACACTGGGTCCCCTGATTCATTTTTCAATAGAGTTGTGATGCACTTTAATGCACTGGACAATGAAGCAGGAGACCTGTTGCTACCTAATTGATGATGCATCTCTACTAATGATGGATAGCATTACTCTGCCAAAAGGTGATGAGTGATGACCGCTGAAGGCCTATGTTCAAGTCTTTGCCTTTGCCAAGTGGTGATTAATACACTATCATCTTATTTTTGTTATCATATTCAGCTGAATCAATGTATATTTTATATTGACAACTATTATTCCTTTTGACAGAGAAAGAACATTTGAATTAATATATCTCAGGCCTCTTTAATAAAGTAACATTTTTTCCCCTAGTATACGTTCACAAAAGTGGTGACTGACAGACTTACGGTACTAGGCATGTAAAAAAAAATTGAACTTTCCTTTTCATATCCTGATACTCAAGGTTATGATAAAGTGTTTGTTAAGTCACAAGAGGGACATTTAGCACTTAATTACTTGGGTTACGAGCCACAAAACTGGGGAGCATTTCTTATCATTGGTAGAGATACATCAACGGTTAGGTGGCACTGGGTCCCTAATTCAATTTCATTATAGTCGTGATGCACTTTAATGCATTGGACAATGAAGCAGAAGACCTGTTACCACTTAATTGATGATGCATCTCTACTAATGATAGATAGCATTAATCTTTGTCGAAAGGTGATGAGTGATGAGTGCTGGAAGCCAATGTTTAAGTCTTTGCCTTTGCTAAGTGGTGATTAATATATTATTATCTTATTTTTGTTATCAAATTCAGCTGAATCAGTGTGCCTTTTATTATGATCAAGGATTACTTTATCAACCGTCCCTACTGAATATGATTCCCAATTTTACATAATATGATTGAAAAACAAATAACCATAAATCTATAAACAACCAAAGATGTAACTAGTTATCATTAAACCGATCTGAGTATCCTGGGCTATAGCTAGAAAGTTTTAATCTTGACTATCAGTATTATCTTTATGCCCTCTATTATTCGCAAAAGATAAGCATTAGAGCTGTGGAAAAAATTCTTCTTCCCAAATGTTAACCACATCACCCCATCTTAGTTGGGATTTAACCAAAATTATCTTGACTAATGGCTATGTAAAAACAATACCATGATTCTCAACGATCAAACTCAAGAGAGAATGATGTACACAGGCAGCTTCTGAAGTACTAGCAAAATGAGATATGCTTAAAGTGTGGAATGCAAATAGAATGCCACAATTTAAAGGCACATGAACAATACATTGCTTTAAAATGATGCAACAAAAAATTTAGTCACGTGCTTCATGAGGAGAGAAACAAGATATCATAAATCAAAATGAAATACTTTGCACAACGTTTTACAACAAATGGAAATTATAACATGAGCAAAATATTTTCTATTCTACCAATTTCATTTGATCCTTCATACTCCAAGTATATACCAACCAAAATTACATGATTAACAAGAAGCTTAAGTTTTTGCTCCAACTTTCTAGTTCAACTTTTCAGTTAATTAAATGAGTGGACACTGAACTTTATTCATGGTTACTACTTGGCCACTGAAAACTAAATGGTTACCCAATGCTCACTAACATATTCATTAGTTTATCCATCCATCACCAAAGTCAATTCCATCTATACAAGTGGACAAATATTTTTACGTGTCAGATGAAAAATGATGTGGCATACAAAATGGGTGAATCATAGCAATTTCATTAGAAATTTGTATTTATAAATAACAAAAAAAAAAAATAAAAAGTTAAATTAAAAAACGTTTCTTCTACAAATCACTTCTTCTCCCAAATCCCGCCATTTCTCCTCAAACCAAACTAGTTGCCACCATGACCACGACCTCACCTCTGAAGCCTCAACAATGATTCAACCCACAAAACCCACTCAAAGTTTTGCAATATTTTATGGATTTTATCAGATCCTAATTTCAATAGCAAATGAAAAAAGATTTGATATTGGAATAAGAGAGAATTACCGAGGGATGATGAATCCAGTACGGCTCTTAAGAAATAGGTTGAATTGAGAATGAAGGTTCTAGAGGAAGCAAATGGTGAGATTTTCAGGATTTGAGAGCCCAATTGGTTTAAAATAATTAAAAAATTTTGCACCTAGTATGGCAGTACCCAGTAGCATTGTCCAAGGAATTTAGCTAAATGGCCGCTCATTCCCTCTTCCTCTCTCTCTCTCTCTCTCTCTCTCGCTCGCTAGATACTGCCCCCACCCCATAAATCATAAATGTGTATACACTTCTGGGCTCTTAACATGTTATCTTTGTGTTTGTGTAGAAATGCAAACAGTGAGGATAAAAGTTCATTTCGACTCTTGCTTTCAACAAATCAAGATGCCATCAAATTCAAGAACCCTCCACCACAATCCATGAAGAAAGTGCAGATCACGACATAGAAGAAGGGCAGAACGATGAGTTAAAGAGCAGAATTTTCAGATTCAACACTCCTCAAGAGGAGCACCGCCAATATTTTACAGAAATGGATTGGGGAAGGCAACAAAATCACCATCTCTGACCTCTGAAGCATCTCTGAAGACCTAAGAAAATCCCACCGTTATCTAGGATTAAAAAAAAAATGTTGGGCATCATGATCCTGGTGAATATTGATTGAACAAAGATTAACAATGTTGGAGAAATCGTTTTACAAACAACAATTTATGCTGACGTGGAGAGATTAACGGATTCCATTTGCCGCATCATCTTTTCATCTGTCATTTGGAATTTTTTTGCCACTTGTACAGGTAAAATTAAGAGTAGTGATGAATGAGTAATTTGATAAATACTTCATTGAGCATTTGGTAACCTTTTATTTTCAATGAACATGTGGTAACCAAGGATAAATTTCAGTGGCCACTCATTTAATTAACTCTCAATTTTTTTCTCTGATATTGGTTCATATCCACCTTATTAAGCACATGAATGATTGATAAATAACCATTCTTTAGCCATTCTCATAATCTAAAGCTCCATGAAAGAAACAAATATATAGTTAAATTAAAATGAATAAGTTACCAAATAATAGTATCCCCAACTTATCATCAATTGATTTTACTTGTTTCAAACCTAAAATGAAATTTATCTTGTTAACATTATAACAATTCTTCAAGACGTAGATTAGTGAGGAAATCGATACATAGGGCATCAATCAAAATTAAAATTTTTGATGTTCAAAATCTACACTTCGAATTCCTCGAAACCCTATTCTCGCAATCACTCTACCGCCATAAACAACCAACAAAACTGATAATTAATATATCTAGAAAACATAAAATTACAAAAGAAATATGATTTTTACCTGGTTGAAAGGCAAGTTCAGAGCAGAGCTCAGTAGAGAAGCCATGGTTAGAAAACTCCCTTTTCATTTATATTCTTGTTCTCTGGTTTTATATTATCTATTTGGTTAATCCGTGGCCCAAAACACGTAACCTGAAGTTCACGGCTGTGGATTTCTGGCGGAAGAACACCACAAATTGAAGTTTAGGGGTAAATCTGAAAACATTGTGGGTGTTTTTTGTGAGATTGTGAAGTTAAAGGACCCCAGGGCCGAGACTAGTCAAACTGTTCGTGCATGAATGTCAAATTCATCCTCTAACTATTGAGAAGTATCATTCAAGTCCCTCTTGTTCATAATGAATATGATTCTGATTCCAAATGAATCGAACTGAATCATAAATCATTGGATTTCTTGATAATGGAACCAATGATTTTTATTTTATTTATTTATTTATTTTTTGGCTTGCTTTTGGTTCCATTACTTAAATTTTCAAAGATAAATCCGTCCGTTAATAACACTTGTCTAAATTAAAAAATAAATAAATAAATAAATATCAAACATTCTATCATTAAATAAAATATTGTGTGATAAAATTTATTCACAAAAGTCCAAACTAACAAACAAAATATATTCATAATTTAAATATACAAACATCAAGTTCCATCATTATATAAATATTGTCCAATAACAATGACTCACTAACGTAGACGAAAGAGTCACTGACAAAAGTTGAATTATTTTTATATATAATTCACTGATTTGTAAAATAAATACATATATGAAAAAAAATTAATAAAAATTAAATTTAGTTCTTGGTTCTGTTCAGAACTAAAATCAAAATCATTAAAAATACGTATATTTTTGTAGAATCGAACCAATTTCTCAATTTGGTTTGATCCTGGTTTGATCTGATCATTTTGTCCACTCCTAATCAAATTCATCATGTAACTAGGGGAAGTTTATTCTTCATCCCCATCTATCTTTAAATTCAAGTTCATCTTATTATTCAAATGCGGCAATTTGATCCTTCAACTATTCATAAATATCAAAATCATTCTCCAACTACTAAAACTATCAATGACGTCCCAATTAATTCATAAATGTTAACTAATCCTCTAACTACTTGGAAGTATCATTAACATTCCCCATCTATTCATAACTGTCAAACTCATCCTCAAACTACTATGAAATATCATCAACGTCCCCGTTAGTTCATAAATTTCAAACTCACCCCCAACTAATTTGAGGTATAATTATTGTCCTTCATCTTTATAAATGTGAATTTCCTCCTCAAACTTTTTAGATGAGACAATTCGATCCTTGATCTATTTATATATATCCTCGGTTTATTCATAAATGTCAAATTCATCCTCCAACTATTGCAAAAAATAACCATCATCCCCCATCTATTCATAGATGTCAAACTCATCCTCCAATTACATGGAAGATCATAAATGTCGCCATTTGTTGTTAAATTTTAAATTCATCCTCCAACTATTCTAATGTAACATTAGCATTCCCATCTATTCGTAAATGTAAATTTCATCCTTCAACTACTAAAAAGCATCAATTTGATCTTCCAATTATTTAGATGTGAGAATTTGATCATGAAACTATTAATAATTGTCAAATTCATCTTTGATTGTTCTGAAGTATCATTGGCATCCCGCATCTATTCTATTTATAAATGCCAAATTCTCCAGTTACTAAAGACCATCAATTTGCTCGAAAACGACAATTTGAATGCATTAATCATATCCTCCATCTACTCATTACTATCAAATTCATCCTCTAACTATTTTGAAGTTTCATTAGCATCCGATCTATTAATAAATGTCAATTTCATCTTCCAAAAGAGAATCAATTTGCTCCTCCAGTTATTAAGATGCAACAATTTGATCCTCTAACCATTTAAATGCATCAATAATATTCCCATCTATTCATACATGTCAAATTTCTCCTCAACTACTGAAAAAGCATCAATTTCCTCCTCCGCTTATTCAAATGCGACAATTGGATCCTCCAACTATTCAAATGCACATATTATGTCCTACATCTATTCAAAAATGTCAAATTCACCCTCCAATTATTGTAAAACATACTTTTCGCCTCCAATTATGATAATGCTTCACATCGTCCATATCTATTCGTAGATGTCAATTTTAGCATCTCAAGTACTTTCATATGTTAATTTAGTCATCTAACTAATAAAAAGCTTTGATATTGTGCATTAATCTCGTCCCATTTCATTTATCTAATGTCAATTTTGTCCACCAACTAGTATGAAGCATCAATTTCTTTCTCCAAATGTTCATATACATTGACTTGATTTATTAACTAATAATAAGAGTTGAATTCTTCCCCCTCAGATGTATCAATTATACCCTAGTCTATTTTGTAGCATCAATCACATACTCATCTATTCATAAAATGTCATGTCATCCTCCAACTATTACTAATCGTCAATCTTATCATCCAAATATTACGATGCATAATTTGGTCACCCATCTATTCAAAAATGTCAATTTCGTCTCCAACTACTTAGATGTGTTTTTTGGTCTACAACTATTCAGTTGTAGCAACGAAAATATCAATTTCATCTACAACTATTTAGATGTGTTATTTGGTCCGCAACTATTCAGTTGTAGAATTAAGTCTCCCACTTTTTATTAAGTACAAAAATTTCCTTCAAATAATCAAATACATTAATTTGGTCCCTTAACTACTCATATGCATCAGTCTCATCCCCAATCTATTCATAGATCCTCATTTCATCCTCCTACTATTAAGAAGCACAGTTTAACAACATTTTCTATTTAGATACGTCAATTTCATCCCCCAACTATTCATTAACATTTATTTCGTCTTCCTACTTTAGTTAATTTTCCCACTACTATTCAAAAGCATCAATTACGCCCTCCAACTATTTAGAGGCATTAATTTCACAATTCTACTATTTAAAATCATGAATTTCTTCAACCAATTATTCAAAAAAAGTCAATTTTGTCCAGCTATTTTGAAGCATCAATATCATCATCCAACTATTTGAATACGCCAATTCCATTCCCTAACTATTCAGATGCACCAATTTCGTCCCCCCATTTATTCTTAAAGGTTAATTTCATCACCAAAATATTCAAATATGTCAACTTAGTCCTCTAACTAATCAAAAGCATTAATTTCTTCCCCTAACTATTTTGAAAGCATCAATATCATCCTCAAACTATTCCTAAGCGTCACTTCCGTCATCCAAATAATCCGAAAGGGTGAATTTCGCTCTCCAACCATCAATATCATCCTCAAACTATTCCTAAGCGTCACTTCCGTCATCCAAATAATCCGAAAGGGTGAATTTCGCTCTCCAACCATTATCTACTTTTTATTTAAGTCAACTGTATAATCGATGCTGAGGCATTTGTTAAGACAAAAGTGTCACTAAATTTTCTTTCTTTCTTTCTTTCTTTTTTTTCTTTTTTCTTTTTTGGCGTAAAATTCGTACATTTAATCTCGTCCCAATCAATTTCATCAATATAAACTTAAGAAACGTGCGAATGTCAACTACCAACAATCAATCTAAGTTGCTATTATTTCATTGACTTAGATTGTCTGAAAAGCATCTTAAAAAATGTAGGTTGCGTTTGGTAATTTGTAAAACACAACCTCAATAAAACAAATTATTGCAACCAGTAAATTGTTGGTAGTTAATGTTTTAGGAACCGTTTGATAAGACTTATAAAAAAGTTGAAAACTGCTTCTAAAATTAAGAAATTGCCTTTTAAACTTATTTAGATAATTTTATAAAAAATATTTTGTTTAGCTAAATGAGCTTTTAGAGAAAGCTAACCTAAAATTTTTTCTACAAAAAGCATAAGCAAAAAAATAAAATAAAATAATCCACGCACATATTCCTCAAGGTTTTATAATTAATTATTAATTACCATGTTCTTGGTTGAATAAAAAAATGCTATTCATAATCAACAGCTACAATAGTTAACCCATGCTGCAACTTGTTATTTGAATCATTAATTTTATATAATTTTGTTACATCATATAACAAGTTAATACCGTAAAAAATAATTTGGCACGTAAGATGACTACTGCAACCGTTAGACAATAAATAATATTACTCAAAAAAATTACCTATAATTATTTTTGAGATTCAACATATTATAAATTCATTTTAAATAAATTGAATATGAACAAATGTTTCGACCAAAAATCTGTGTTCCTATTGATTTGGTGGATTATTAATTCCACAGTTGAGGTAAATGATAGAAAGAAAGTGAGTTGGTCCTTGTTTGATTTTGATTTATATAAAATTACTTTTCTTCATGCTCGTTTTCAACACATTCTTCAGCAATACAATTTTGCACATAGGCTCATAATTTTTTATTACTTTTTTTAACCACATAAAAAAAATTATCTTTCATAAAATAACTTTGCAATAAATCAAAATCAAACAATTGCTTAAAACGTTTTTGGAGATAAAAAAGTGAAGAAATTTTTCCTTGCAATTTAATAAAAAAAATTGAAAATTTTCATTTCCTAATTTTATTGTAATTTTAAAATTTGAGTTTCCTCAATACTTCTCACAGTGTATGTTTGGCTAAGATAAATGAATTTACTTGACTTTAGTTTTAAGAAAGGTAAGATATATGTGTTATATAATTTTGAATTTTTGAAAAATGTGTATTTAGCCCCTGTTTGGACCCCATTACGTTGAAAAATTAATGGGTGGAATAGTATTTTTTTGAAAAATGAGTGGTTGAAAGAAGATAAGGTTTTCGATTTATATGTAATATTATTTTATGGAAGATTATGTGGTTAAAATAAGAGAGAGAAAAATGAAAATTAATAAAGGCCAAACGGGGGCTTAAGAAGTAGGAAAATTTTATATGTTTACGTGCAAAATATTTATTGTGAAAATGTGTGATTAAAAGCGAGTTTGGAAGAAAATTAGTTTTTAGATAATGGGATCAAACTGGGGCTAAAAAATTTTCTTGATTAAATTTTAAAATAAATAAATTGCTTATTTGAAAATTAACTTAAGCTTAGCCAAACATCCATATTCACTTTACTTTTCTTTTATAGGCGAAAAATTTGTAGGTAAGTGAACAATATTTATTGTAAGAATGTGTGGTTAAAAACGAGATTAAAAAAAAATGAGATTTTAGATAATGGGATCAAATATGGGCTAAGATTTTTTCTTGATTAAATTTTAAAATAAATAAATTGCTTATTTTAAGATTAACTTAAGCTTATCCAAACGTGCATATTCACTTCTCTTTCTTTTATAGGGGAAAATTTGTAGGTTTAAGTGCATAATATTTATTGTAAGAATGTGTGGTTAAAAACGAAATTGAAAAAAAAAATGAGATTTTAGATAATGGGATCAAATATGGGCTAAGATTTTTTCTTGATTAAATTTTAAAATAAATAAATTGCTTATTTTAAGATTAACTTAAGCTTATCCAAACGTGCATATTCACTTTTCTTTTCTTTTATAGGCGAAACTTCTATATCTGATTCTCGAGCACGACTTTAAGGAATAATCTCAAGACTCCAACCGCGTTAAAAAATCCAAGAACCTCCGTCCTCAGTCCCTGCTGTCGGAAATCACACCTGATTCTTCGTCCAAGGCGTCCACGTTTTACACGCCTCCTTGAACCCCAACCACTCTGCTAAATTGTTTGCATATATGTATATATCAAACCCCACTCTTATTCCCATTCCCGATTCATTGACTCCATTAAAACTCTTCTGTGTTCACATTCCCGTTCAAACATCTTTTTTCACAAACAATTTCCCACTGTTATTTCATGGAAATTTCTTCTTTCCCATTGTTGAAGACTACTCGTTGTCAAACTTGTTTTCTTTAATTCATTTAGACCCCAATAGTGTTTCAATAACCAATACTACTAATAAGCGCCCAGGACGTGATAATTTTTGCAATGAACTGGGGAACGAGTCGTCATCCGTGCAGGATTTACCAAGCGAAATTTTGGGATTTGATTGTCAACTAGAAGTCCAGAAAGCAAAGCAGAACGTACAACCCGTACGTTATATACAACAAGATTCTATTTTGGAGTCGAGAATTAAGCAGAGTCACGAAATGGATGAGGGTGAAAATTACTGGAATTTTGATCAGAATCAAGATGCTTTCATGGGTTCGAGTTCTGGTCAATCATCTTTTGCTGAGAGGAGTCGCTCAGAGAGTCACGATGTGATGACAACTTCTGATGAGTCCACTGGTACGGCAGGTAGCAGTTCGCAGCGTAGATTGTGGGTGAAAAACCGGTCTAAAGCGTGGTGGGAGCAAGTTAACAGCCCGGATTTTCCAGAAGAGGACTTTAAGAAGGCTTTTAGGATGAGTAGAGCAACCTTTCATATGATTTGCGAGGAGCTCGAATCAGTTGTGACGAAAAAGGACACAATGCTGCGGTTGGCAATCCCGGTTCGCCAGCGTGTGGCTGCGTGTATATGGAGATTGGCCACTGGCGAGGCTCTTCGTGAAGTTTCGAAACGTTTTGGTCTTGGAATTTCTACCTGTCACAAGTTGGTTCTTGAGGTTTGTTCTGCAATAAGTAGCGTGCTAATGCCGAAGTTCTTGCAGTGGCCTGATGAGAATAGAATGGAGGAGATTAAAAGGGCGTTTGAATTTGTTTCGGGGATACCAAATGTGGGTGGTGCATTGTACACGACACATGTTCCGATCATTGCTCCTAAGGTTAACGTGGCAGCTTATTTTAACAAGAGGCATACAGAGAGGAATCAGAAGACTTCTTACTCGATTACAGTTCAAGGTGTAGTAGATCCTAGCGGAGTTTTCACTGACATTTCTATTGGTTGGCCTGGTTCATTGACTGATGATCAGGTTTTGGAGAAGTCTGCCCTTTTCCAGAGGGCCAATCAAGGATCTTTGAAGGATGTTTGGGTGGTTGGGAACTCGGGGTATCCATTAATGGATTGGGTTTTGGTTCCTTATACTTACCGGAATCTAACCTGGACACAGCATGCTTTGAATGAGAAAATCGATGAGGTTCAAAGGGTTGCCAAGGAATCTTTTATGCGATTGAAAGCAAGGTGGAGTTGCCTGCAGAAGAGGACAGATATGAAACTTGAAGATGTCCCGGTAGTTCTTGGGGCATGCTGTGTTTTGCATAACATATGTGAGATGAGAAATGAGGGCTTGAATGAAGATATGAGGTTTAATCTATTTGATGATGAAATTATCCCTGAGAACAATGTGAGGTCGATCAATGCTATGTACACGAGAGATCAAATTGCTCACAAGCTCTTGCACCATAATCTTGCAGGCAGAAATGTCCTGTGATGACAGAGTTCTGAACTTGTTGTAGTCTTTTAGTGATTCAATTCTTTCCTGGCTTGTTATACTCATGCGATAAAATAATTTGATCCAAGTAATTCTTTGACTTATAGTAGACAATCATTTGCCTTTTAATAAAATTCCCAGTTTCTCTTGTTCTATGAAATTGTGATTGTATATGGAAATTTTGTCTGGAACTTTTTGTATGATTCCATGTGAATGGGTTCAAAAGAAGTTGTGTTTATATGATTTCATCTAGTGATCATGATGATGGAGTTCTGAATTCTTCGTAGTGTGTTTTAGATATTCAATCGTTTCATGGTTCGTTGCAGTCCTGTAATGGAATAACTGTATTGAAGTGATTCTTGGTTTCTGTGTGGAAAATTCATTTGCCATTCTATTTCTTCTTAGACAAGATCATTGATAGCTGGAATTTTGATTGCTTAGCATGATGACTGAAATTTTGCATCATAAACTTTTATGTAAATTGTTGGTGCATTAGTTCAGAAGAGGTTCAGGACCTGTTAAACGATCGAGACAAGGAAGATGAGGCACGCTTTCAAGTGTAGATTGAAGGTAATTTCCAGTATAACCACATTAGACAAGTTTTAGCATTTTGATCTTGATGTGTGGTTTGAAGAAGATGAATGCTGTTTCTTTCGTTCTTTTCTCTTATACATTACTTGAATATACGGGTGACTATCGATCGGTAGGTTGAGTTTTCTACAAATACATTAGATAACGTAACGGTATCGACCACAATCAAAGGATTGACTAAACTTTGATTGACTCTTCAATTCTGTTTATTTCTCAAATGGAACAGGTAATGGCTAATCAAGAAAGAAATTTCTTGCTGAGGGCTATTTTGATTGACTAATCATATTAAACTCACTTGTCAATGGTCTTCTGGATTGCACTGATGCTGATGGAGTTAATGAGGTAATCTTCGACAGAGTTTTTCTTGATGCAAATATTCTCCTGGTGTTAGAGACATTCTATGTTCTCATGATTGAGACCGCTCTAAGAACCCGTTTGAAATTGCTTTTGGATCCATTTGGCTAATTTTATAAAAATTCTGTATTAGTTAAAAGAGCTTTTAAAGGAAGCTGATTCAATATAACTTCCTTTAGAAGTACTTTAGAAGTAGGAAACAGTTTTAAAAATTAGTTTTTCAAACAAAAATTAAACTAACTTCATCCAAAAGCTATTCTATGAAAAGCAAAAGTAAAAAAACAAAAGCTATGCCAAACATGCCCTAAGTAAGTTTAGAGGAAGGTGAAAAGTTGTGGAAATTGAGGGTACATTTATTTAGCAGGATATGGAGTTCAACAATTTCAAGTTGTTGTGATTGAATTTCTTAAAGATTTTTTATTCACAAGACTCTGTTGGTTGAATCATAATGTACAAGATTATGAAATCGTTAATATAATCTTGTCTCCATTCATTGGCTAGTTAAGACCATCAATTTGTAGGTTCATAGAGGCAGAGAATCGAGCAATAGCAGTTTCAGGAGGCCGTCCGGCTCTGCTCACTTTCACTCTAAAAATCGTCGTTACTTTTCGAAGTTTATTGCCTTTTGCTGCTCTGTGGTGATTGATAAGTAAAGAATGGCTACTATAATCAGCAATTTATTCTTGATTTATATTTGTTTTTGTTATTTTTTCCCTTCATTTGACATGTCTATGAGCGTAGAGATTGAAGATGTAGGCGTGATTATCGTAAATGTTAGAACTGGATTTGTGTGCAAAGTGCAAGTTTAGTTCATGGTTTTGATTGAATATGTGTATTATGATTATAGTAGGAATATATTTCTCATACAAATACTTAATGTGTCTTCGACTTAAGTATCGCATGTTAAACTATTTGATTTATAAATTTGAACTATTAGATAAGGTCACTTGGATCACGTGAAGGTTGGATTTAATTTCTCATCGAATCCTAACGGGTGACAGCAAGGCTTGTACTCAATACATTTTTTAGTTTTGACAGCATGTCGAACTACTTAATCTGTTATATACAGCCAAATGGATATCAGTCAAGTCCCTAATGAAAATTCAAATATGCAGTAAAATTGATTAAAAAATGATGAAATGTGTTATTAAAATTATTTTTTGATTTTAACTTAATTTTTTATCAAAATTTTAAGCCACAACAAACAGAGGACCAAACAAGGAAAGCTTAAGATGATTCTACTACAAACAAGCGTTGTATTGAACTAAAGAGACAAGTTTACATGCATCAAATGGTTTTTGTAATCTCCGTTATGATTCAATTTTCTTGTCTTTAGCTATTGAGCAGTGGTGGACCTCGCTATAAGCGAGGTAGGCGATCGTCTAAGGTTTCATTTCTTTGAGTGTCCCAATTTTTTTAATTATATATAGTTCATAAAAAAATATAAATAAAATAAAGTCTAAATGCAGTCAACCAAACCAACCCAATAAGAAAAACCTTTTGGTGAATTATTATATATAAAAAATTTGAACTTGGTATTGATGATTTAAGATGTCCGGATTATGATATTGATTTTAATAAGAAATAAAAGCATTCAAGTTTGCAGAAAAGACCATGTAGTTGTAATACTCTAAATCTTGCACTTTGTGATATCACAATTCCTGCGTAAAGGTTAAATCTTTTTCTTTTTTTGTGGAAATTTTACAGTGCATATGTATATTGTTTTAATCTTCTACAAAGTGGTGAAATTCTTTTCGAGATAAAGTGAAATGTGTGATACTCAAGACATCATCACAAACGCATTGGAAAAGGCAAATTGGAAGTGTTAAAATAATAAGATTTCAAGTGTTAAAAAATAAATCACTTTAGAACACTTGTGGATAGACTCTAAAGACATTTAGAGATTCTGACAGTTTATCTCCTAAGTTCTAACATTATGAATTTTGCGTTTTTGTTTGTCATGATTATTTTGTACAATATATTATCACCTGTAAATAGAGTAAGCAAAATATTACAAAATAATGATATGACTATTGATGTTGCTATTTGTTACTTGAGAGCACTTATTTCATTTTTTGAAACATATAAAAAAACTTAATTTGAATCAGACATGAAGAATACTACTAAAAAAATTGTTGTTCAAAAGAAAGTTGAACTCAGGCCATGTTTGATTGGCTACATTTTCCATTTTCCATCGAAATGTAGTGTTTGATTGCAATATTTTCTAGGGAATTTCATTTCCACCTTTTCCCCCACACGTGCAATTTCCTTGAAATGGTGGGAATTCGATTTTCTAGCTTCTTTTTTTTTTTTTCAGCAATGGGAATAAAATTTATCCCTTTAATTGACAGTTTTAAAACAAAACCAAATGAATACGAGAAGATCCAAAATTTCAATATTTTTCAGATGAAAAAGTATACCAATCAAACACATTTAATTGACAATTCTCAAGAAAACAAGTTCTAGACAATTCAATTTACTAGAATTAGTTTTCTTTTCACCCAAATTCCATCCTTGCAATTAAAAAGACCTTTACATTCTTTGAAAAATGTACTATTCATAGAAAGAAACCATGAGATAAGATTCAACTAAAAATTCTTTAAGAATTGATTATTTTTTATATGTAATCGATCAAGCTCTTTATTCAGTTAAATTAAGATTTGAACAATTTCAAAAATACAAAAATACTTTTGAATTTTTGTTTGATTTAAATAAAACTGAAGACTGCAGCGGATAATTCTTTGAAGTATTGGTGTGATAAGCTTGAAGAATATTTGAAGCACGACAGAAATTTTGATATTAAGGGCGACAGTTATTTTTTGAGTTGCAAATGGTGAGAAACTATATGTCAGAAAAGACAAAAAAAAAAAAAAAAAAAGGTGATAGAAGTGTTAGACTATATTAAAATGATAGAATACTATTTTCCAAATGTATAAATTGCTTATAGAATATTATTGATTATACTAGTTACAGTTGTATCTGTCAAAAGCAATTTCTCAAAGTTCAAGTTAATAAAACCTTACATTTGGTCAACAATGTCACAAGAAATGTCGAATGGATTAATTATGGTGTCTATTAAAAAAGAAGTTCTAAATTATATTGATAGCAATAGTTATAATTATAGATTTTCTATAAAAGAATTCTAGAAGAACATATTTAATTTAGGCATTTAAAAGTTTTATATCATTTTATTTAATAATATTTTATTTATTATTAATATATTTTTTAAATATTTGTAGGGTCTCATATTTGAAATTGACATAAAGCTCTTAAAATCTTACGACCTACCCTACTAATAAGCCTCTAAATTTATGTTCTTATCTAATTGCAACATCAAGAAGAGAGTCATCAAAGGAATGGTTCTCCATCTGAACCTACTTCACCATAATCCTAATTCCATATTTATCCCATTTCTGCTTGCTACTCGAAATTGGAAGCTGCAGCTTTTTGAATAAATTCTTCCAATCAATATGTTTTACACAAATACTTGAAATTTGATTTCTTGATCTCTATCTTCCATTTCTATAGCATTCCATTCATGTCAAGTCACGAATTGATTTCTCCAACACTTTTTCTGTGTTGGTGTTCTATGTGTTCGATTTAACTTTGTACAAATCTAGACTTGTTACAAAGGATCAGTGAGCATCAGACTAATTCACATGGTATTAGTAGTTTTGTTACATGGTTTTGGAGATTTTTGCAAATCTTGGTTTGGAACAGTGAGCATTAGGTTACGATCATAGTAACCAATTTTTAATTTTTTTTTTTTTTTATCACAATCACATATAAGTCACAAATAATACAAGGTCACATCACAAATACACAATTTTTGGATTACAAATTACATATTTAATCACGAATCACACATTTTAGTAGGTCACAGATTATTAATTAATCACAAATTACCCCATTAAGCGGTCACAAACACTCTTCAACTCATCCCACCTCACTCTACCACTATCGACATCACCTAAATTGCCATCGCCACTTCAAATCCACCACCACCACCTTCACTATCTCCACCTCAAATTCACCACCACGTCCAACCCACCGCCTTCTTCTTCTAACTTTCTACACGACTAGTGGCGGATCCAACACCTGACACGGGGGCACAATCGCACATGCTCGGTTCGTCAAAATTTACAAGCCTCGTCAGTGGCGACCGTGAAGAAATTTGAAGGCGAACACAAGGACTTCAATTGGAAAGATATCATTTGTGGATTGAGCATTTTTTAAATTGTGGACCTTTTCTTTTAGGCCTCTTGTTTTGAAAAATAAAAATAAAATTGGCCT